ATAGGATTACACATGAAAAAATGAAAAATATGTGAGCATCAGTGTCCGAGGAGGAGGGAATAACTATCAAATTACTTTTGCTGCATCAATCCAGGAGCGTAAATCGCACTGCAGGCGGACGGCTCGTCGTTTCCTCTGCTCAATCACCGTTTCATCCACTTTGAACGAATCCAGTACCAATCGCTGTAGTGCATTCTCTGCTTTTGTTAATAGGGCCATATTTCTAAAAAAGAAAACAAGGTTAAAAATCACGAAAAAAAAAATCAACTGGAATTACATGCTAGTAATATTACGAGGATGCTCCTACATGTGGCAGATCCTTGAATCCCAAACTGCATGCTTCCTGTCAGCATCCAACACTTTTTATTTTTTCTTTTGCTTCACTCTTTTAGGAACCGCACGAATGGTCATTTGCCTTCTCCACAGAGGTCATTTATCGATGTGAGGTGTTTATCACTTGTTTAAAAGCGAACAAATGTTTGCTTTGCTTATCTGTTTTTAGTTTCTTTCGCAGTCGGATGAAACCAATAAAAACCGCGCAATATATTAAAATATGAACAGATTTTACAATGCAAATGTAACGTATAAATTCACGGAGCAAAAACTATTGATACAAAGAATAACAAGATCGCCAGGATAATCAGTGTGGATGTTCCATGTTAGTGATATTACTGCAGTTCCGCCATACGCTAGGAGCAGTTGTTATGCCAAGCGTTTCTTCAAACTTGGGCTGCATGCCTCCGGTTGGTACCACCAATTGTCACATGCGTGTGCGCCACCTCTTTACTCTTACACACTTTTCCAAAAATTTCCATGTTAAAAAAAACTTCAAAGAATTCTCACTGATTCAAATCCTCCAGCAATGCTTCCAGAGTTATTCGATCGGCATCTGCTGTTTCCACATTTTCGGATCGCACAAAAGCATTGAGTCGCGACTCAACACTTTCAAATACGGCATCCAGCTTCTGCATATCGAAACCAACATCATCGAGTACTGTGATACAATTTTTCATACGTTCTATCATTTCACTATTCTAAAAATCAGGATTTCTGTATAAATCAAAGGCATTTTTGGCGAAATGCCTGTATTTAAGTCTGCGTTTATCGGAATTTCCGGAAAAACAGTCTTCGACTCACTTCACCGGTATAGGATAACGTACCGAATATGAATTAGTGATGAGCAGGCTTTCTGGTAAAAAAAAATATGAACTTTTTAATGTGATCTCCTTGCTCTTTTCAGAATTAATTTTAAGAACTTTCATTACTTTTCAAAGTCAATTAAGACTTACTCTGCCGCTCAGATTTTTTAGTTTTCCAGCCAGATCGTCAACTTTTTTTGTCAAATCATCAGCGGCATTTTGCGTAAGAATTTGCTCTTTTGCGAGCATTTTTCCAGATTCACTCAATTCCTCCAGGTCATCGCTAGCCTTAAAAAAGTCGGAATTTAAAGCACTGGTAAACACTTGCGAAGAAAAAGTTGTTTCGATATCTACTCTAGCATTTCAAAAACAGCGTTTTTTCTGAAAAAGCAACTACAGGTTTTTTCCGCTTCGTATTATTCACGAACTTCAAATCGATAAGTCAATGCGTTTAGAAGTGACAATGTTCGCGACGAAGAGCGTTTCTCGATATACATCAACGACATCTCAAAACAGCTAAAGACTTGCTAAGTGCTTTTGCCAATAGAACTGCTAAACTAATAATCCCTATAAAAGGCAAAACAAATGGCGGCACGACCGCCAGCTGATGCACTACTAATCAAAGCATCTGTAGCAGTTGCTAGCCCCACGATTGAAGATATGAATTTCAGTTCATCAAAGTGTTAATCCAAATAGCCAGAAACCAAGACACATCATTTAAAATCCACAAATCACCTTGACAAGCCGCCGATTGATTTCTTTGGCATGATCTAATGCTTGCCGACAGCGTTCAGCTTGC